TAGTGTGTGTGTGTGCGTGTGTGTGTGTGTTGAGTTTTTTTTTTTTTTTTTTTTTTACACCCATCTCCTCCCCCCCCTTCCCTTCCATAGAGGTCGGGGTAAAAAAAAAAAACACGAGCGGCCCAGGTGAACAATCCTAGAAATGCTGGGAGAGGATTGCTCGATCCTCGTCCTCTGGCGCTGCTTACCCCCGGCGGAGAGCATGACGAGAGCTTTGCGAGTTGGTGAGTACCGAGCGACCTAGCAGTCGGGTGCCTTCTTACCTGCTAAATCGACGGCGCACCCGATGACCTACCTACGGTAAGCTTGTGAGTATCCCAAATTATGTAGCCGCGATCATAGAGAGCTATTTCAGACCATGGGTAGTCTCCACTTGATAATTTATCTGATTAAAGTCAAGATGTGACATACATAAATGTAAGAAGGTAGAAAGAGGAATCTTGGCCAGTCGAACAGCTTCGACACGTCTAGCGAAGGTATACTTGTGTGCAGAGAGGGAACGATTCCATCTGACCCTTCACCCTTCAGGTTTAAAAAGAGGCTTCGACTGTGGTCCATGACCAATGCTAACCTCGAATTACTATTGTATTTGCTCCCCGAACATACTTTTCTCCCTCTTCTCGCACCCAACAACTAAGCGAGCAACATCGGCTATGCTCTACACCCCTTCGAGCCCCCCCTGGTGACAAGCCAAAAGCGGGCATGCCTCGAATCCTTCCGCCGTCAAATGTGTTGTGTGCGTGAATTGTAACGGTATCAACCAGATGCGCCTCCATCAAAAGTGGTATGTCTTGCGCCAGCCATGCTGCTGGAATATGTGTGCGAGCAGCTTCTGTTAACAAAAGAAAATGCAAAGGGAATTTAAAGTCGATGGACATGTTTAACGCCGCGCCCCAATGGTATGATACAAACAAGTGCTCCTCCAAATGCAGTGCTGCCGTTTTCGGTGGTGGCTCGACCAGAATTGGGGGAATTGAGATGACGACCTAGAAGTTCTGCGAGATGCCGGCGCTTTGTTGGGGGAAGTGGGATGGGTTTTCTATCCTCGTATTGCGTCGAGCCTGCACATCACGGATGACGGGTTGGCCACCCATCTCTGCTGGGGGGCTGCCGTACTGGGTGTCGGCGCTGTAAGGGTTCCCCGTATCGTATTGGTTGCTGTAGAATCCTGCACCGGCCCCTTCGGCGGAGCCATCTGATCGAGCCGCGGTACTGTAGGAGGACGACGCGTTCGAGGGTCCACGGTTGATTTCTCCGTTTCGGTTGCCTGATGCAGCCGGCCCCATCGCACCAAGAGGCTCTGCATCGGTGGACAGCGGCCGCCCATCCATTAGTGCATTATCTGATCGAGTGTCAGAATTCGGGCCGTGTGTTGGTGAATAATTGCCTTCAGAGTATGCCATACCAATGCCGCCAGCGGAGTGACCGCCGGAAACTGTCGTCGAGGCCTTGCGCCCCGAAGAACCCACGGCTGTAGTGCCCCAGCCTCGATATCCGGATGAGCCATCCTCTTTCATCTCGTACGAGCCATCGTGGCCAGCCGATCCCGCTCCACCCAGAGCAGGGAGGGTGGGGTCGTTGTTCGGGTTGTATCCGTACTCCTCAACCTCCTTCCTTCGCAGTTCCTCTGCGTCCTTGCGTGCCTTCCGCTTCCGCCAGAGAAACAGGCCCGCGACTACCAAGAGGGCCACCGCAACGATCGGGACAACAACCGCGACTGCGATGGTCCCACTGTTGCTCAGCCCACCACCCCCGGAACTCCCTGAGCCTGAGCCTTGCAGGTCTGCAGTCACTGACGAAGAAGCGGCGGATTCCGTGGCGGTGATCGATGGTGAATTCGCGACCGGGCTTTGAGTCGAAGTCGTCACGATCGTGACCGTCTTACCTTCCGCGTCTGTTGAGGTGATGGTGGATATAATCGGCGGAAGGGAAGAAGAGGGCGTGGGCGCATCGGTGGTCAATGCGCTCGATACGTTTGATGCGGTCGCCGGGATTGATGCGGATGGAGTGGATTCCGTGTCTGACGGACTGGTTGGTGTGGGAACGGTGCTGGGGCCAGCGGGCGTGGTGACGGGTATCTGTGTAGAGGGAGGAGGTACAGAAGGCTCAGGAGAAGAAGTGACAGGAGAAGGAGTTGTGGGAGTCTCGGCTGGGGTGGTGCTTGCATCGGGGGTGATCGACGTGGAGGGTGACGGCTCCGTCGTCGGGACTGAAGGTGGACTGCTGTTAGCACTTGGACTCGACGGTGCAGGTACAGAGGCAGAAGATCTCGCCGTCGGACGCGAAGAGGGTGCCTGCGTAGCAGGAGCAGACCTCGACACCGCCGTTGATGGCACACCGGTATCCGTACTTGTAGTATTAGAAGACATGCTGAACTGTCTGATCTCGAGAGTGCGAGCACGCCTGTGAAGCAGTGCGATGTCAGCCATATGTAAAAGATCCACGACGGGCCATGCCCTGTGCGGGGGGGTGTAGTATCGTACCTCGAGCTCGTCGTGTGTCTATCTGAATCTGGTTCTTGAGTTGCAAGAAAGTACGGCTGGCACTGTTTCGGGGGGCTGGGAAGGAGCTTTGGTCGGCCGTGCCTCTGCTCGACGTTTGGTGGAGGAAACGGGGTTTGAAGGGGCCGCCAAGAGTGTCGACAGGCGAAGGGAAGATATAAAAGAAATGGGAGGAATCCAGTTGCTTGCGATTGCGATGGCGGATGGTGTTGGTGTTGGTGTTGCGGAGGGGGGGGGCTGGGGGGATGGAAGGGCGAAGGGATTGAAAGGCGGGAGAATTAATAAATGAGGCTGATTACTGCAAGCGAATGCGTCCTCTGCCTGGAGCCGCGGACCGTCGAGAGTGGCGACAATGGGGTTGGTAATTGCGGACGAGGAGGAGAGGACGAGTAGAAGGAAAAGAAGTGGAAGTGGAGGAGAAAGGGTCGTGTCCGGGTCGCAGGATAAAGGAGGAAGTGGAGGGAGTGGAGGGAGTGGATCGGTTGAGAATAGAGGGAGGGCAGTGGGCAGGCAGTGTGGCAGTGAGGCAGTGAGTGGTGTAAGTCGGTCAGGGTACGGGTTCGGGTGGGTAAGGTATTCACTCCTCTAGTGGAGGGCGGGAGATGAAATGAGCTGAGACCGGGGATGCAACCGAGCTCGAGACGATTTGGCTTTATTGGGTCGGCGGCGGTTGACGGCGTGGGTAGGAGGATGGAGGGATGGATGGAGGGAGGGAGGGATACCGGTAGATGGTCGATGGAGACTCGTCGTCGATGGATAGAGGACTGGTGATGGTGATGGTGATGGTGATGGTAATGGGCATGGTTGATCGTGGGGAGATGGATGGAAGAGTCGCGTCGCGGTGAGAGGGGAAGGGGAGGGGGAGGGGAGGTGGAGTGAGGTGGAGTGAGGTGAGGTGAGGTGAGGTGAGGTGAGAGCAGCGACGTGGTCGGGAGGAGGAGAGGAGGAGAGGGCGAGAGGAGGACAGGAGGACAGGAAGACAGGAGGACAGGAGGACAGGCAGACAGGAACAGAGCTGGACAGCGGGGGAGGAAGAGAAGATTCCAAGTTCCTCTCGTATCTCCGTACGGAGTTGATACTGATAGTCAGTGCGCGCGCTGGCTTGTTACCCGCGGGCCTGTAGGCTATATGTACAATCAATTTAAACCCGGTCGAATGTAAAATACTTCCTTGGATTCTGTGCTTAGCTTGGTTAGCTAGCTACCTACCTACTACTAGCTAGCTAGCTAGCTACCAGTACCGGTACCCCAAGATCGTGTTACTTAAGACATGGTCCGTATACAGAGGAAATGCTTTGCCGAGATGGCTGGAAGCTCTTCGACACAAGCCGAGACAACGCTGCTGCCACATTTCTCTCCCTGGGCTCTGAACTCCCATAGCTTACTCCCACAGCTCTCTCCCTCAACCCACCCACTCTGTCAATCTTCAACACCATTATTGTTACTATCATTATCATCGTCGTCGTCGTCATCATCAACATCATCATCATCACCATCGTTATCGCCACCGTTCTCTGCCGTGGCAAACTTCGGAGCGGTACCCCTTTAGCCTAATACAAATACGCTCGGATATGTCACCTGCAGGCCGCACCGCAAAGATCATCCATACTTTCTGACTTGGAAATACGTAGTATGATTCCTCTCCCCGGCCTGGGACATTCCACTTGCCGAACGGAAAAAAAAAACAAACAAACAAACAAAACAAAACATTAAAAATTCAAAAATGAAATGAAATAGAAAGAAAAAAAAAAAAACCTTTTTCGCCATAGGCCTTTCCGACATGCGAAAAAGATGGGAGATCATCCGTCCGTGCCCTCCTCCACCTGGGATCCCATCCTGCAGCAGCAGCACCACCACCGCCCGCCCGCAGTGACCACACGCGACCCGAATGAACCAGCGAGCGAGCGCCAAGCGTGCCCCGACCCGAGGCGGAATGTCCGAGGACGGTACGCATACATACCTACTCATACCGGTACACATATACACATATATGTAGCGGATCCATCGACTTAACAGAAGGCAAGGCCCCTCCATCGTAAACAAACGATCCCGCCAGCGGACACAAATCTCTGCGATCTACGGTCCCCTACCGACTTGGACGTGACGTGACGTGACGTGACAACGAAACATGCTACGACGTAACATGACTGACTGACTGGTTCCAAGCGAGGTGATCCATCCCACCCGGGCACGCTACGTAGGTACCGACTACTACTACCGTACTACTACTACGGCACATACAAGTACCGGTATATTTATTGACGACCTGATCCGTTTGCCCTCCCAAGGTACCGGTAGACAGGGCAGGGCAAGGCAACCTGCGCGACGGGATCGTGCTGTACCGGTATGATTCTACGACGTGCCTTCGCATTTTCATCAAAGAGCAGGCCAGGGATAAGCCCACGAGGGAGACAGTGGCAGCACGTTGTCTCTCTCTCTTTCTCTCTCTTTCTCTTTCTCTCTCTCTCTCTTCCCCGAAATGAGATGTGAAAGCTTAAAAGTTTGATTTGACATTTTTCGAAAAGAGCCCTCAACAAGAAACCTTTTCTTCCCACCGAATCCCACAAACCCACCAGGTCAATCCATCCTCTCAACAATCTACCTACCGTACTCTGTAAGTCAGGGTCAGCTACGAGACGTGTTCATTCATTCATTCGTTCATTCAATCATTCAATCTTCTTCCTCTCTTCCCCAAATCCCTGTCACATCCTTCCCTACCCTTCTTTCTGTTCCTCAGCTCCTCCCTACTATTACCACGACTACTATTAGGACGACAACTACCGTAGGACGACGACCTACTACCGGTATCCAGCCGTGAGGCAAGTAGTGGGGTACGCCCCCCCCCCCCCCCTC